AAATTAAATTAAAGAAATAAAATGAAAAGAAAGAAAAATGAACCCAAATGGAGGGGGTGCTGGGCCAACATGGGGGTGAAATGCTGAATCTGGGCCCATTAAGACAAAGGCCTCGTTGACCTTTCTGCTTGTGTGTGCATCCATTGACTGAAGCACATGGTAAGCTCATTTTGTGGCCTTTGGATATGCCCTGGAGACACCTGGCTTGTTGGATCTGTGAGGCCTATGATGAACCTCCCTTGGGGCGCTGCACAGGAAAGTCAAATGAAAAATAATATGGGAATTGTGAGGGGACTTGGGAATCGAACCCAGGTCCCAGCGTTTACCAAACGGAAGCCTTGCCAGTTGAGCTATTTGCGCGTTTTGGATATAGAATGGAAAACAAATAATATAACATAAAACAAGAATTAGTGATGTGAAACAAAAAAAAGGCGCTGAAACTTTGAATGCCCCAATCATCATGAGCCACGTCCACCTTCTTCTCCGTTTGTCCCTGTAAAATAAATAAATAGCGGGGGTTTTAAACCCCCCCCAAAACACAACCTGCAAAAAAATAGCGAACAGCTCATGCTTGCACATAAATTGAGCGCGAGGTCATGGTTATGTCCGTTTGGATATCACGAATTCAACCATGGCAGTTTGATGTCCCAATTTTACAGTATGGGGAAATCCCCAATTTGAAGCTTAAAAAACCCTAAAAAGTTTCAATGGTGAATCATGCTATAATGCATTAGAATGCAATTGAATCATCCTATTAGCTTCAGAAAGCCTCTAGCAACACAAAACAACAAAGAAAATGGGTTAAATGCTTATGAAACGTGATATACGATTTTGAAAAATGAAGCAAACTGGAAGAGGTCTATGGCACGATTTCTTGAATGATTGTGCTTGGTTCTGATTGCCAAAGCTTCCTAGGGATTCCAGGAATATGTTTGGATTGGAATGGAGGCTTGAGAGGCACTGCAACTAGGTTTTCAGATTTGCTTTTTTGCTTGAAAATTTGAAAATGCGTTTGGCCGTTTTGGAGCTCTTTTTGGTCGTGAATTCAATTGTGATAGCTTGCATGTGTATTATGTAATGTGTATCAAACAAAATTAAGAGCCTTGAAGCCTTGCATTCATGTTAGAGATTTGCCCATAACCTCCATTGAAGCTCTTTCCATATTTGTGTCAAATTTGAAATTCTTGCTTGATTTAGGCCTTGTACGAATTTGGGATGTGTATGATGGTGATTCAAAGCTAATCAAAGCAAAATATGTCCCTTAATTAATCTTTTTTATTTTCATTTGATTTTAAAAGATTTAAAATGAATTAAATCCAATATAATTAAATAAAAATGAAAAAATTAATTTTAAATTTTGAAATAAAGTGTGGGACACGTGGGAAGCATGGCCAAGCTGAAACAAGTGGAAAAAGTGGGCCCCTTTTGTCAAAAATGAAGTTTCAAGGATAATTGATTTTGGCCATTTCACAAAAATTTCCCAACTTCTCCAATGCATATCTTGCTCAATTTTAAAGCTATGAACATGTTCTTGGACATTTTGGAAAGATATTGAAGTCCTCTAACAAATGTCTTTGGTACCATGTCATTTTAATTTACCAATCTCAAGTTATGGTCTTTGACTTAAAGTCCCTTTTTGTTGACTTTTGAAAATGACCTATAATGTTGAAATTGATAACTTTTTGTGAGAGCATTTCTTGGATTTGGAATGTGAAGATGAGTTGTAGGAAATGTCATGCCCTTCAAGATGAGCTTTGGATGGGATTTTTCTGATGAACCATGAAAAAGTTATGCCTTGGTCAAGTTACAGCTGACTTTTCAGCTGTCCAAAAATAGAAACTTTTGCATCTTGATGATTTTTGAGCCATTCTTGTGGAATCATGATCAAGACTTGATAAAATGATGATTGTGGCTTCAAAATGAGATGTTGACCAAATTTTTTGACTTTTGACTGCCAAATGACCATTTTGCCCCTGCAGTTGACTGTTGAGCAATTAGGGTTTTTGACTGTGCAACTTGACCTTGTGAGCCTTGAAACTTGACATGTAGGTGCTTGACAAAGTGTATGAGCATGTGGGACTTGATTGAGCCCTTGAAAACCTCAGCTTCCTTGCAAGAACCAAAACCCCAGTTTGACTGGCTTAGGAGGATGGTTGACTGTGTAGCCCTTGAGTAGACTTTGAACCATTTGAGGTGATGCTTGAAAAAACTTTGAAGATTATGGGAGGGCAAATTTTGGGGTACAACAAAATGCAACGGAAAAAGTACCAAAATCACTAGCATCTTTTTAGAGTAGATATCTCCATCCAACAACCACTACTGATGGCGATTTTCTCCTTCAAATATTCCATAATTTTCTTCTTCAAAGAACCTAACAACGTAAACAAATATAGAAATAAAGAAAGGTTTTTAAGTGCTATTTTGAAGAATATGAACTTGATGACTCGCATGATACAAGCTCTGCCAGAAGAGGTGGCATAAATATATCGAAATAATGGCCAACTAGAGCATATTAACAAAGGTGAAAGATGTTGCAAATATAGAAGAATAATCCTAAGACTCCTCGTATATCATCCAAACAAAGACAGCATTATGATCCATAATACTAGATGTTGAGAGGCGCAAAATACACTGCCAACGATTAAGATCTGACCTCAGATTATTCAGAACACTCGAATATCCTAGTACACGAAAATATTACTATTATGATTCATAGAGCCACGCGTCGAGACTCCCCTACAAAATGTTGCTAATCACTAAGGAGATATTCAATGCGCTTGTTCTCGATGTTATTGATATCTCATTAAACCTCTTTCGCATCCTTTTGCTAGAAGTCGGATTAAAGACACACATAATAAATCTTCGTTCTATGAGTAGGAACAAGGAGTTGGAGACAATTGTTTTGGATTGTTTGCAAGGTCCACAGTGAAACTCCCAATAAGAAACATTACACATAAAGGTGAACAGGACAGGTCAGACCTCGTCCAAGGAAAGGAAACATGATTCTGGTCTCCAACACATTTTCCGTCGTTGGACACGAAGACAACTTTAACCACCCACAGTATATAAAATTTAATACGCGTCATTTTAGATATTCTTATTCATACTTTATAATTAGTTTATCACTCATTCACTGACTTGAATATTAGAATGTTAATCTTATAAGCATACCTTCACTTCGCCTTACCGAAAGCACACTCACTCTACCACACTAAAATTCATTTTCATTTGATTTCTAACTATTTCTAGTTCTAGTTCAAAACAATTTTCACAAATATCTTTTTTAACTAATATTTAATATTTTTGTATCATATTAATTTATTTCAAGAGTTTTCTATAAAATAAATTGAAAAATTATTTAGAATATAAAATTATAAGACGTTTTGGTCATTTCACACAAATTAAGAAATATAATTATTATTTTATGAAATAGTAATAACTTTACACAAGTGTCTTTCAATAATTATATTAAAAAGAAAAATTAAAAGAATTGAAAAAAGAAAGAGAAACAAATAATAGTTGATATATTAGACAAAAACTCATTATAATACATTAGAATTGTAAAATGAGAATTTCTTTCCATACGAAGCGCACTTTTTCAGGATCTTTGGTAAAAAATTTAAAATATCTTCAGAATTCGGAAGTGCATCTCCAAACGAATCAAATTTCAGTTTTTTAAGGGTGTTTTCGGATATGCATATCTGGAATAATCCAATATTTCATTTTCAAGGGGTTTTCGGATATGTATATCCGAAATTACCTAATTTCAGGTTTTTAAAGGTGTTTTCGGATATGCATATCCGAAATAACCCAATATTTCTTCTGAGAGTTTTCAGATATACATATCTGAAATATTCGAACAATTAGAATCGAACTGTATTAATTCCAACAATTAGAATCAAGGTGTATCAATTATATTAATTATATTACCTTATCAATTATTTATATAAGTTTTATATATTTTTAGTGGGTTAGAAATGGAAAAATATTATTTATTACATAAAAATATTTATTTAATATAATTAATTTTCTAATTAAATATAATAATTAATTATCAATTTATAATAATAATTCAAAATTTTCATCTAAATTAAATTTAACTTTTAAAATTACAATTAAAAAAATATTTTTTTTTGTATTTTTTATCAAAAATTATTTATAATTTTAAATAAATAATTAAAAGACAATTACATTTCACCATTATAATTAAAAAATTAATTATTACATTTATTTTTTAATTTCATATCATAAATTTAGTTTAATATTTAATTTTTAATTATAAATTTAAGTTATTTTTATTAATAATAACTCAATTTAATTATATTACAATTATATTATAAATAAATATTTTTTCAAAATAAAATTAAAATAAATTTGAGATATTGAGTGACTTCATGCATATTCAAAGTCATCCAATTTAAATTTTTTAGAAGTTATTTCACATATGCATATTCGAAGTCATCTAATATCTCAAATTTACAAGGTGCGTTCGGAGTGCATATCCAAAAGATATTTTTGGATTTTCAGAAATAAAAATCAACATTACTAAATATAAAGAGAAATTTCCTTATAAAATAATTTAGAAAAAATAAATGATGCATTGACAGTGTTAATTAATTTTACACTCTCAAACAATCAACATCATATATTATGACACATCATCTTTTTATTTTAAAATTTTTGTAATAACATGATAAATTATTAATTTACTATTAAATAATAGTCTAAAACTATTTTTACATTATTATTAGCGTATGCATTAAGAATAATTTATAATTTATGGGTATCACATAATTGAACAGAAGTCAACGTCAATTCCATGTGATCATTGCATCAAACATAGGCAGCCCCAACCCAATTAAATAGCGTGTTTGCCAACTCAACTAACCCACAATATTCATTTCATTATTAAATTATCATTTTGAATAACAATTTTAAACAACAAATTGGAAATAATTAAAGAATAGTATTTAATATAAAATAAAATAAAATGCAAGTTGCTACAGAGAAGAAGCATTATACAATCCACATAGTAGCTTAGAGCCATTCAATCCCAACAAACCATCCACTACACGATCATGCCACGTGTCTCTCATAGCCTCATTTAACCGTCGGATGAACCCCTTCTCATTATTTTCACAATAATTCAACAAACGTGCAACATACGTAGGGTCCTTATCCTCCCACCATAAACCACATTCCGGCAACTCATCAACTCCACCGGAGAGCCTCTCACGACGGAATCCGGCTAACTCAGCGACATACTCCGCCATACCATCGAGAAGCCTAGATGGAGCCTTAGATCTTCCATCCCATAGCCATACTCTAGCCATGGCACGTTGAATTTCACCCACTATTGCCATTTTGTTGAAATTTTCATCTTCAAGTAACATAGGACTAATCTCAATTATATAGTTTTTATTATTCTTTTCATCGTCAGCGGCGATAACAGTGGTGGTGGAATTGAGATTTTGACGAACAAGGCACCAGAAGATATGGAGAAGACAGCTTTCATTACACCTTTGGAACATTTTGTTATCGGGTTATGCCGTTTGGTTTGAAGAATGCTGGTGCAACATACCAAAGAGCCATGACTGATTTGTTCCATGACATGATGCATAAAGAGATAGAAGTGTATGTAGATGACATGATTGCCAAATCACAAACTGAGGAAGATCATTTGGAACATTTATTGAAGTTATTCCAGCGTTTGAGAAAGTATAAACTCCGCCTGAATCCCAACAAGTGCACTTTTGGTGTTCGTTCTGGAAGACTTCTGGGTTTCATTGTCAGTCAGAAAGGTATTGAGGTAGATCCTGATAAATTCAAAGCTATTCGGGAAATGCCCGCACCCAAGACGGAAAAACAAGTAAGAGGATTCCTTGGGAGACTGAATTATATTTCTAGATTTATATCTCATATGACTGCTACCTGTGGGCCGATTTTCAAACTTCTCCGAAAGAACCAAGGATGTGTGTGGACAGAGGATTGTCAGAGAGCTTTTGATAGCATCAAAGAATATTTGCTTGAACCTCCCATTTTGATTCCTCCGGTGGAAGGAAGGCCTTTGATTATGTACCTGACTATATTGGAAGATTCCATGGGATGTGTGCTTGGTCAACAAGATGAGACTGGAAGAAAGGAACATGCCGTATATTATCTGAGTAAGAAATTCACGGACTGTGAGTCTCGATACTCAATGCTTGAGAAAACCTGTTGTGCTTTAGCTTGGGCTGCTCGCCGTCTGCGCCAGTATATGATTAACCATACCACTTGGTTGATCTCCAAAATGGATCCGATCAAGTATATCTTTGAGAAGCCCGCCTTATCTGGAAGAATAGCCCGTTGGCAGATGTTGTTATCCGAATATGACATTGAGTATCACACTCAGAAAGCAATCAAAGGGAGTATTTTAGCCGACCACTTGGCTCACCAACCAATTGACGATTATCAATCCATCAAGTTTGATTTCCCGGATGAAGATGTTATGTATTTGAAAGCTAAAGATTGTGAAGAGCCGTTACCTGAAGAAGGACCTGATCCCGAATCCCATTGGGGTTTAATATTTGACGGAGCTGTGAATTCTTATGGAAATGGAATTGGGGAAATCACCGTCACTCCCCGAGGTACTCATATCCCGTTCACGGCGAGATTGAAGTTTGACTGCACGAACAACATGGCTGAGTATGAGGCATGTATTATGGGTCTCGAAGAAGCAGTGGATCTAAGGATTAAGATTCTTGATATTTACGGAGATTCGGCATTGGTAATTAATCAAATCAAAGGAGAATGGGAGACTCGTCATCCTGGTTTGATCCCTTACAGAGATTATGCTAGAAGATTGTTAACTTTCTTCAACAAGGTGGAATTACATCATATCCCTAGAGATGAAAACCAAATGGCTGATGCTTTAGCTACTTTGTCTTCAATGTTTCATGTGAATGGTTGGAACGATGTGCCTACAATTCGGGTTATGCGCCTTGATAGACCTGCTCATGTGTTCTCAGTAGAAGAGATTACCAACGACAAACCGTGGTTCTATGACATTAAACGTGTTCTTCAAACTCAAGAGTACCCGCCTGGGGCATCCAATAAGGATAGGAAGACGTTGAGAAGATTAGCAAGCAGTTTCTTCCTCAATGAAGAGGTATTGTATAAGAGGAATTATGACATGGTCTTGCTCAGATGTGTAGACAGACATGAAGCAAACATGCTGATGCAAGAAGTACATGAAGGATCTTTTGGCACTCATGCCAACGGACATGCAATGGCTAAAAAGATGTTGAGAGCTGGTTACTATTGGATGACAATGGAATCTGATTGCTGCAAATATGTGAAGAAATGTCATAAATGCCAGATTTATGCGGACAAGATACATGTGCCACCGACTCTCCTAAACGTTATCTCTTCACCCTGGCCTTTCTCTATGTGGGGCATTGATATGATTGGAATGATTGAACCCAAAGCTTCAAATGGTCATCGTTTCATCTTGGTAGCGATCGATTATTTTACTAAATGGGTGGAAGCAGCAACTTATGCTAATGTAACCAGACAGGTGGTAGTCAGATTTATCAAGAATCAGATCATTTGTCGATACAGCATCCCGAGCAAGATCATCACTGATAATGGTTCGAATTTGAATAACAAGATGATGAGAGAGCTTTGTGAAGAGTTCAAGATCGAACATCATAATTCTTCTCCTTACAGACCAAAGATGAATGGGGCTGTTGAAGCTGCTAACAAGAATATCAAAAAGATTGTCCAGAAGATGGTGGTAACTTATAAAGATTGGCATGAAATGCTTCCGTTTGCTTTACATGGATACCGTACTTCAGTTCGAACTTCAACAGGCGCAACCCCATTTTCCCTAGTTTATGGTATGGAAGCAGTACTCCCCGTGGAGGTTGAGATTCCGTCTCTGAGAGTGTTAATGGAAGCTAAACTTTCTGAGGCCGAATGGTGTCAAAGTAGATATGATCAGTTGAATTTAATTGAAGAAAAGAGATTGACAGCTTTGTGTCACGGTCAATTGTATCAGTAGAGGATGAAGAAGGCTTTTAATAAGAAGGTTCGACCACGCGAGTTCAGAGAAGGTGATCTTGTACTCAAGAAGATATTATCTTTCCAACCTGATTCTAGGGGCAAGTGGGCTCCGAATTATGAAGGACCGTATGTCGTTAAGAAGGTTTTCTCTGGAGGTGCTTTGATTCTCACCAATATGGACGGTGAAGAGCTCCCGCGCTCCATGAACGCCGATGCAGTCAAGAAGTATTTCGCTTAGGTTTGAGTTGACAGTTTGCTAAGTTGAAAACCCGAAGGGGCGGCTTAGGCAAGCTTTTGGTCAGACCAGCCTTGGCATTTGAACACATTTCGGAATTCGAAGTTGTTAGGGAGAATAGTGATCATTGTTTTGTGTAACCTTTTTCTTTCATGTACTATTTCCCAAACTTTTGTAAACCGTTGGAGTCGCGTTGTTAGCGAACTACCATCTTATTAATGAAATTTGAGCATTTACCTTTTGTGGGCAAAATTTTAATTTTTTACAGAAAAATTTGAAACAAAGTTATTTAAAGTATTCTTATTTTAAAGATGTGTCGTGAATAATGAAAGGAATATTAACAATTGTCCCGAGGATGGTCAAGCCATGAAATGCAAAACAATACGGTAATTTATCCTTGCATGATGAACATGTTTTATTTCAAAATCGTCATGAGGTGTTGGTTGTGTTAAACTTGCGTTTCTCGCGGTACTAAGTTTGGTGACTCCCCTGTTGTTCCAGTTAAGCGTCGTTTTGGCTACCTTTATTTGGGCAATTTCTGAAGTGTGGTACGCTTTGTCTCATGCCAGTGGTCTATTGGTATTAGATGATTGGTTTTGAATACTTTTCTACTCAGAAGACTTGGGACTTGTAGCGTGATACGCTCTGACGTTGCTTTGGGGTTCCAATTCCAGTTATTTTCCGTCTTTTTAAGATTGGCCGAGTATCTATTATGTCGTGACATCTTATTGTCTTCAAGTTATTCCATCTGTTCGTTTTGTCAGCATAACATTCATTTATTCATTTACACTTATATCACGCATGCATATTCACATTTGTCGTTGATTTTGGGTTGTATACTTTGTTTATTCAAACAGTGTACATGTTTCTTTCCAAGTAGAAGGTTAGCTTAGGCAGAAAATGTGTTTCCTTTCTAAATTCCCCAACTGAGCTAATCCTCGTGGATGTTTTTTTGATTTAGCCTACCTCGTCCATTTCTGGATAGGATGAATTCTCCAATCGAGTTACTTTCTCATTGGTTGGAGTCTTGTTTGATTGTTTTCTCTCTGGTTTATTCCTGGAGGGAGTTGTTGCCTCTTGCATAGGCTATCTCATGATTTTTCCCAGTAAAGTCGCGACCTAGATGAATGGTGCATTTATTTTGCACCTTTAAGTTTGTGATCTCCTCGGGGAGGATTGATTCATGGTTCTTTTTGACGAAGATTTTATTCTCTGCCAATATCATCGCAATTTCCTTCTGGATTATTTTTGGAAAACGACAAGCGGCGGTCTCTTCATGAGCAACTTGTACGTTATAGACATCGTTGGAAAACGGCAAGCGGCGGTCTCTTTATGAGCAACTTATGCGTTATTATTATTTTGGAAAACGGCAAGCGGCGGTCTCTTCATGAGCAACTTGTACGTTATTATTATTTTGGAAAACGGCAAGCAGCGGTCTCTTCATGAGCAACTTGTACGTTATTATTATTTTGGAAAACGGCAAGCGGCGGTCTCTTCATGAGCAACTTGTACGTTATTATTATTTTGGAAAACGGCAAGCAGCGGTCTCTTTATTTGAGCAACTTGTACGTTATTATTTTTCTGGAATACAACAAGTGGCAGCTTCTTTATTTGAGCAACTTGTATGTCATAGTACTTTTTGGACGACAGTAAGTGGCAGCTTCTTTATTTGAGCAACTTGTATGTCGTAATATTTTTTGGAAGACAGCAAGTGGAAGCTTCTTTATTTGAGGCAACTTGCGTATCCACAATCTTATTATTATTTCAGCATTAATGAGTATATCTCCGGAAATCTCGCAGAGAAGTTTGTTATGAATCTTTACCTTCAGAAGTCGGTAATCCGTCGCCGGCAAATTTGATACTCTCTGTCTATCTTTGACCTTGAGTTGTGAGCTCACTGATATTTTTGGGTCAATAATCTGTTTTATGGCCTATGCAAGATGCCTTCTTTGTTAGGGTCAGAGGTCGTATTCCCTCAATTTTATTCGCCGTCAAGAGTCTGTCATTTGATGTCGATGACTCGTTTCCCCAGTAGTGCATAATCCATGTCTCTGTGTTTTGTTGGTGTTTGATTTCTCCAGCATTGTCTTGTTTCATACAAAATCTTTCTCTGTGAATTCAATTACTACATTCATATCAAACATAATGGCGGTATCTTAGGGCAAAAATTTGCGTATTATGTATTTAAGTACCTGCAATCTCGTCGAGACGAAGATTTTAATCTTCATATCTCCGGATAGAAGAAACTTAAATAGGGGCAACTGTTGTACCCCAAATTTCGACCTAAGATACCATCTCCCATCTGCATCATTACACTGCAAGTGTTTTGACCTATTTTTATCAATTTTCAAAGCGAATTTTAAATTCATAACTTTTTCAAGTCGAGAGCTGTTTATTTTTTGAACGCTAAATTTATTAATCGATCAATGCTAAAACAATGTTTATTTAATTATTTATTATTCTGAATTTAAATAATTGGAACTTATTTTTCAGTTATTACATAAATTAAAGAATTATAAATAGTAAAGTAAATATTTGAAAAGAAGGTTATTAATTGATCAAACAATGTTTATTTAATTATTTATTATTCTAAGTTTAAATAATTGAAATTTTATTTTCAGTTATTATAATTTAGAAGAATTATAAATAATGAAGTAAATAATTGAAGAGAAGTTAATTGATCAATGATAGTTATTTAATTATTTATCATTCTAAATTTAAATAATTGGAATTGATTTTCAGTTATTATATAATTTAAAGAATTATAAATGATAAAATAAATAATTGCAAAGAAGAAAAGAATTAATTGGTAAAATATTGGAGTTTTATTCATTTTATTCTAATTGTTACAATTGTTGTTTAAATACCGTATTTATTTACAACGTATTTACAATGATAATTTTTACAATGTTTAAAATGAAATAAAAGCTATCCTATTTTTTTTCCTAAGTTCTAAATCTTCATCTTCTATCCAATACTTCTTTGATGCTCATTTGATTTTACCTGCAAAAGAATTAAAAGAAAAGTCCGAAGTAAGGTATATAATTAAAAGCAGATGATTAATTTAGCGTTCATCATTAAAAGCAAACGGCTGGAATCAGTTTTTTACCCTCTTTGCAAATCACGGGATTTCTCCCGGTTCACAAAAAGGGATGAAGTTTATTGACAAATATGAATGCACAAGTTAAAAATATGCACAAATTCATTTTTTGTCAAAACTGCATATTTCAAAATAAACTGCATATTTCAAAATAAACTGCATATTTCAAAAACCAATTGCACAAATCCAATTTTTGTCAAAACTGCATATTTCAAATAAAATGCATAGTACAACAGCATATGCATATGCAAGTCAAGTTACATTTTCAAAGCCAATATGCAACGTAAACTATCCAGCGTGTGGGAAGAAGTCAAAATACAAAGGCTCCATACTGTACAATGCAGTTGACAAAGAGAACATGTGTAGTTTAAAACCAAATATGCAAGCAATATATTTCTAATTTTCATCATTTTCCAGCTTTGCTTTTTCAGAACCAAGTACACAACATCATATTTTAATGTCAAACTGTACTAAGGAGAGAGAAGAGAGAAAGAGTGTGGGTTTACAGGTTTTGGCTTAGGCAGAAAAGGGACATAAAACAGAACAACAGTAACACAGTAAAGAAAAGGAAAGCATGGAAAATGGATACAAAACAAACTGAATAAAACAGCATAGAGTGCAGAGGTATCAAGAAAAAATAGTAAAAATATTCAGAACCTGAACCATTAGAGCCAAGCGAACCAACTGTTATTATAACAACAACAAACCTTTCAAAAAAGAGAGAGTTCAGTTCAACCTGTTTTCAAACCTTCAAAAAACTCAAAACAGTCAAAAATACAAACGAATTCTCAAGGTCTCAAAGCAAAAAACCAGAACCTGCTGTCTGAAGACCAAACCAACAACCATGGCCTAAAAAACCAGAACCTGCTGTCTCAAGACCAAACCAACAACCATGGCCTAAAAAACCAGAACCTGCTGTCTCAAGACCAAACCAACAACCATGGCCTAAAAAACCAGAACCTGCTGTCTCAAGACCAAACCAACAACCATGGCCTAAAAAACCAGAACCTGTAACACAAAAACCAGACCCTTAACCATGTCAAGCCTGTCCAGCTCTAAAGCCTAAGCCATAGAAACCATAACCAGTAAACACGACCTGTTAAGCCATGCCAAACCTGAAACGAGTTTCACCAACACAAAAGCCAGTAAAACTTTAAGCCCTTTCAAACCATAACATGTTCAACCTATTTACCTGCCTAAAACCCGCATACCAACCAACATCCAAGACCAAAATTGGTACCAGCCATACACGCCCAAAAGCCAAAAAAACCAGAATACCACAACAACACAAACTTTGAAAAACAATGTCCAAACCGTCAAACCTCAGAATTATTCCATCATAGGCCAGTAAAAAAAAGCAACTGAAGCACAGCAAAGAAGAAGAAGAGGAAAAAGCATACAAACGAAGGCAGCAGTCAAGCATCAACATTGTCAAGCTAGTCAAAACAAATATTTCAACAATAGCATATTCAAGCATACAGAAAAGGCCTTAAGATATTCAGTCATCAAAGCATACTCAGCAAGCCAAAGAGGAAGAAGGGACAAAGAAGCGTTTCAAGGCGTGCTCAGAATATTCAAAGCATCCAAGGCAACACAAGCATACAATATCCAAAAGATATTTTTGAATTTTCAGAAATAAAAATCAACATTACTAAATATAAAGAGAAATTTCCTTGTAAAATAATTTAGAAAAAATAAATAATGCATTGACAGTGTTAATTAATTTTACACTCTCAAACAATCAACATCATATATTATGACACATCATCTTTTTATTTTAAAATTTTTGTAATAACATGATAAATTATTAATTTACTATTAAATAATAGTCTAAAACTATTTTTACATTATTATTAGCATATCCATTAAGAATAATTTATAATTTATGGGTATCACATAATTGAACAGAAGTCAACGTCAATTCCATGTGATCATTGCATCAAACATAGGCAGCCCCAACCCAATTCAATAGCGTGTTTGCCAACTCAACTAACCCACAATATTCATTTCATTATTAAATTATCATTTTGAATAACAATTTTAAACAACAAATTGGAAATAATTAAAGAATAGTATTTAATATAAAATAAAATAAAATGCAAGTTGCTACAGAGAAGAAGCATTATACAATCCACATAGTAGCTTGGAGCCATTCAATCCCAACAAACCATCCACTACACGATCATGCCACGTGTCTCTCATAGCCTCATTTAACCGTCGGATGAACCCCTTCTCATTATTTTCACAATAATTCAACAAACGTGCAACATGCGTAGGGTCCTTATCGTCCCACCATAAACCACATTCCGGTTCCGGCAACTCATCAACTCCACCGGAGAGCCTCTCACGACGGAATCCGGCTAACTCAGCGACATACTCCGCAATACCATCGAGAAGCCTAGATGGAGCCTTAGATCTTCCATCCCATAGCCATACTCTAGCCATGGCACGTTGAATTTCACCCACTATTGCCATTTTGTTGAAATTTTCATCTTCAAGTAACATAGGACTAATCTCAATTATATATTTTTTATTATTCTTTTCATCGTCAGCGGCGATAACCGTGGTGGTGGAATTGAGATTTTGACGAACAAGGCGAAGAGTCACACTCTTTATATTCTTTTTATTCTTGATATTATCATTTATACTATTAGGGTAAAGAACTTGTTCAACGAAAGAGCTTGTGTTGAGGAGTATACGTTCGGCTCTGTCGTTTGAGATGTAGAAAAGAGTGAAACGACGTCCGGCATGGGAGTCTTTGGTGTCATTTACTATGTATATGTCAAAAGTCTTTGATGCTTCATAGTTTGCCCATATTGATGTTATTGCTACAAAGAGAAAAAAGAGGAGTCGGTGAACGATGTTGTTGTTTGGAATCAAGAATTTTGAATTTTTGTATTGGTTAGTTTCATGAGAGGAAGGGTTGAATTGAGGTAGAAGTGGTTGGAGGAGCTTGTTTTCCATTGATGTTGAAGGAAATGAAGCTGTATATTGTAAAAGGATTGGATATGGAAATTTATAAAAGTGAAGAAGTTATGTAGTTGTGTTCTTTTACATATTGTTTGTTTCAATTGAAAGTGAGTGGAAAGATAGTAGGGTGGATAGAAAGTTTATGGAAAAATGAGCTTCCATTGTTTGGTTTTTTTTGTTGGCGTGGAAAGAAAGTTTACTTTTTGTGAATCCCACAACTCAAAAAATTTCTCCTCAAATATGAAAGAAAATTAGAATTAAATACCTATTTTTTTAAAAGGACAAAATACTCCATGACCTTTTTTCTGCATCCATTTTGATACCATTCAAATACTTGTTTTACATTGCATTGTATGAATAATATTTTAGAGAAAATTACGTAAATAATTATATTTCAGAAAATATTTAAATAAATAAGTCAAGTGAGATGGTGCATCCTCTTTAATTTTATATGAAGGCGCCAAATGAGATGGCACATAGATGCAGCATATTTTCCCTAAGCCATCTCAGATGACGTTTAAGTGCTTTTATGTCTCAATTTTTTTAGCCTTCTATTTTAAATAAGAAACAATAAGTAAACGATATAGCTTAATGAAACTTCGATTTTTCATTAACAAATGAACGATTATATAATGAAAAAACCATGTATATTATTTAGTTATCCCCCGGAACTCGGTAATGACCTGTGGTTGCGCACTCACGTCCTCGCCTATCTCGTGGTGGGTTTCGTCGATTTTCCTGTTGCGGTTGGGTCGATGGCCCAACGAAGTCACTACAAGAAAAAACAAAATCAGTCAGGAGATAATCCCCTCACAAATGGCAAAAACCCCTCACAAATGTAAAAATTACGAGGGGACTGGTCCCCTAGCAAAACAGAGGATCACAAATTTATTTGCGAGGGGTTTTCCATGTCGCAATTTTGCTTGGGACTAACCCCCTCGCAAAATGCAATCAAAATTGTCTGACATTTTGCTTGGGGATAACCCCCTCGCAAAATACAAGTATTTTCCATTAGTTAGGGGTTAAGCTCCTGGCAAAAAATATATAAAAAAATAAAAATATTAATAGAATAAAAATATATTAACATTAACAGAAGAAAAAAATAATATTATAACTATAATTAATATAATTAAAAATATTTCATTATATTATTTTTCTAAAATATCAATAATATTTTCATGATAATATATTTATTGCCTTACTATTTTTTTAAAGTATTATAACTAAAAAAATCATTTTACATACTACTGTTTTTTATAAATATTTTTAACTAGTTTCTAGCATACTTATCATTATAAATAAATAATTTTTAATCAACAAATATTTATGCAAACATCACTCATAATCATTATAATAACAAATAATAACAAACATCACCCATTTAACAACACTCATTTATAACTATAATAACAAACAACACCCATTTACAACTATATAAGTAGATTTAAGAAAAATTAAACAAAAAATATATATCTTTGATGAACACCCAATTTAGATTTAAATTCTTCGATTGCCTTCAATGATAAAAATATATCTAAAAACATAAAACGAAAACTAAATATTAGAAAGAAAAAAACATAAATTAAATATTGTATAAAATATAATTTAAAAGAACAATACCTTTAATAATTAATAAAAATGAGAGATGAATGTAGAAGAAGGTGGAAATATGAGAGAAAGAAAGAGAAGAAAGAAAGAGAGAAAAGAAAGAGAGAAAAGAAAGAGAAGAAGATACACAAATGAATATGGGAAAGTAGTGATTTTTTTAAATAGGACAATTAGTGAGGGGGTAGCCCCTCACAAAATGTTAGTTATATTTTGTGAGGGGGTAGCCCCTCGCAAAATGTAGAGCGGTGAAATTTTCAAAATTCAAAAATTCCTCCTATTTTGTGAGGGGGTAGTCCATCAACATTTTAAAAAAAAATTCTTCGATTTTGTCATTTGCGAGGGGGTTTACCCCAAGCAATGTCAAAATTTAGTGAGGGGTTTATCACCTCACTAAATCCCCTAGCTAATCAAGCCTTTTCTTGTAGTGAGTCAATGCGTTCAGGATCCATGAAATATGTCAGATCACCATATCTGAAAGATCCTCTTTGGTACAGTCGGTTACCCATGCCCTCAAAGTTTTATCGTCTTGATGGGGGTGGGGTTCCATGAATGGTCTATAGCACTGGTCGTCTGAGTAAGGGAGGTAAAAAGGAAATGAATCTTGGGATGTTTGGTATTGAGATTTTTGGGTGGTATGGTGATGTGGTGTTGATGGTAAGTTGGGTCGGTTGGGTCATATTCTTCAGGATAGCCTAGATCTGGGCTAAGGTGAGATGATGGGGGGGCCCATATCAGGATGTTCAGAAGATTGGAATTATGTGTGGGGCATATGGATGTATTGGTATTGAGATGGGGATTAGGGTTGGGTGTGGGGCATATGAGTGTATTGGTATTGAGGTGGTGATTATGGTTGGGTGTTTGTGGATTTATATTGTAGTGGTTTTGGTAGAGGGTTGATGTGTGTTAGGTTTGTTGTTGGGGATTTGAGGTTTGTGCCCATTGTGTTTGTGGGTTAATCAAATACCTTGGGTGAGACACATGCATTTCTGGATTAGTAACCGATTTGTATCAATCAAAATATTGATATGTGTGTCGCATATTATTCTAGTTGAGGAAAACAAGGAATTGTAATACATGTTGGTGACGCCTATGCTACATCTTACACTATTCTGAAGAATTTTTTTCCAATTAGTAAGACTCCATTGGGCGTCGACCCTTCTGAGATGCTAGGGTGACAAACAAGTTGGATCGCATCGTATCTCTTGATGCATTCTGAACTGCATCTTGACATGGTCGCTGTGGTGCATCTTCACGATATTGAATCATACGATTAAAGTATTTGCAGTCTAAATTGTTACATCCTCGGGATTGGATTCATGGTCCAAACCCAAATATGGTCTTCAGATAAACTGTGGATAAAAATTAATAAGAACAATGAAAACGTAAAAGATAAATAATTTAAAAGTAGAAAAATTCAAAGGTACCACGTACATCATCTGGGCCAAGGTGGTCCAATATATTACGATATAGAGCGACATTGAATCTTGAATTCTTGCTGTAATCCATACCCGTTACACAGTACCTAAAGAGATGAAAAAATAGTTAATTTTATACATTTATTTGGTGAAGGGATGAATAATAAATTATTTAAGTTCTTGACTTACTTTGTTGTGTATGGGAAAATGAATGTATTGTTGTTGGCGGGGTTTAGGGATTCTATTCTCCACCAATCCCATACTTGGAGTAAGAAAGCACACCCATAAAAAATACATTTGTCTTTTGTTACGTTTTTACACAAAGAATTGTATATATGGGCTAAAACAGCAGAACCCCAACTATACTTTCTTGTTTTTTCAAAGTTCCTAAGCAAACTTAAATACATAAAATTTACATTATTCCCTATACTTTTGGGAAATAACAAGCTTCTGAATAGTATCATCATATAATTTCTAGCTTTAATTATTCTTGCTAGCTCAGACAAATTTTCATTCAACTCAAGAGTCGCATAATGTTTTTTAAGTTCGGTTAGTAATATACCTTGGCACCTAGCACCACTACCTTCTACCATATCATTGTCCAACAATTCCTGGCATAGAAAATTGAGTTGTTGAACCGACCCATTCACTGCCTTACCATCGATAGGGAGATCCAATAACATGTACGCTACCTCTAGTATGACAGTATATTCACCTATTGGTAGATGAAATGTGTGTATCTCGGGTCTCCACCTTTCCAATATTGCAAGTATAAACTTGGAATCAATCGTGCAGTTTGGGATTTTTATAACATTTCCAAAACCCGCAAATTCGAGATAGGGCACGATCAACGGATCGAGAGTAATGTAGTTGTGTGAGCGAATTCTAAATCTTTTAGTATCCTAAATTCAAAATGTAAATAATGTAAGATTCCATAAGATGACTAATTTAATAATAATTTTATAAAAAATATATTAATATAAAAGAATATTTAAAAGTTTATAGAAAGCATATGACAATCAGCTTGGCGTGGGACATGCCTACATGTAGAGTGGGTGGCATCATAGGTGTAATGTAAGATGGAAGCATAGGGACAATCTTATATGCATGCATGTAAGGTGATATGACATGTGGGATGTGCCATCCCAGATGGCGCATAAGAACAAAATTAGTAGATTTCTCCATCTCAATTGGCGAATCAATGGTGGAGCATTTTTGTCTTGTTCAAGACAAATGAAACCTATTTATCCTACATACATCTAATATTATCAACACTCAAACATTCAAACATTCAAACACCAAACACAATGTCCTCTACACCATAATATGTTATCACTACACATTTCAACGGTGAGACGTACATTTGTCCCACCTCTGATTTTTTTATTTAGAGACACTGATAATATCCGGTTTTGTTTAAACAGAAAAAGCCAATTTCTTATATTTCAAAAAATGATTAGAGGTCAAACTTGGACAAGGTCCAGTGACACACATCTTCTATCAAAATCCAGTTTTTTTGTAAGAACCAAATAATATTTTATAAGGTAGAGGTTCAAGATGACGAGGATCTTAAAAATATGTTTTCTAGTCATGAGTATTCTGGATACGACTCAGTTGAGTTTTACATTGTGATGCAGGAGCCTCAGTTGTCACGACCAACTTAGTCACAAGTGGTTGATCCTCTCGAAGACGAACAAGCAGAAGTAGATGTTGTTGACAAAGAAGAGGAATATGAAGAGTTAGAGTTTTACAACATGGTCAATGATGATTCTGAAGACGGTGCGCTACCTGAAATACCTCCAAATGAAATATACACACCACCTTCACACATGACAAACTTCAACATGGGCAGAGATGAACCGTCATCAGATGTTTTTTTCAACCCGTATATGCAGTCAGATCAAAATTTAAAAGAGAAAGACAAATTTCGTTCAAGAGAAGATTGTATGCGAGCTATAAAAAAGTTTCACA